TAGGGAAAAAATGGAATCTGTGAGTTAGTTAGAATAGTTTTACTTGTATCGTTTCAGGGGAAAAAGAAACACATTTATGTCCATCCTGTAGGTAATCAAGCGTTCTCTGGAAGTCTGGGGTAGTGAAGAATCATTGCAAGAAGCAAAGGAACTCCGTCGTGACAGCCGAGAGAAGATGAAACAGAAGAAGTTTGATAAGAAAGTTAAAGGTAAGGGCTTAAACTTAAGTACTGCAGTACCTGAAGCAAAGTAGCATTCCATTTGAATTTGTTTCTGCATCTGATTGAAGTCTTCAGAGAATCTTCAGTGTGGCAAAATGGAGGTTTTCCAGAGCTATGTGGGTAAGCCAGGAGCAGCCTGGTCTGACCTCATAGCTGACTATTTTGGGCAGAGGGTTGGACTGGAGATCTGAGGTCCCTTCCAACCTGAATGACCCTGTTGTCCTATGGACATGATGTAAGTGACAGAAATCAATTATGACTGTTCATTAGGGTGTGTTTTTACATTTTTTGATATGACCTAGAATGTGCCATAGCTTGTTCTGTTACTTTCCTGACTCAGAGGGAACACTGATTTTTGTGGCAGTGGGTTATAATCCTGCCATCCTGTATGCCTCCAGGTGAAGTTAACTGTAAATGAAGGTAGAAAATGCCTTTTCCCACTGCTCACAGTATTCCCAGCCACTGTTTTTACTGCTTGTTACCCTTGTTTTTTTCCTGATGTTAGTATTTAGGAGAGTTCAGTGGGTAGAGGAGAATACTTTCAGCACAGACATGTGAGTAATTTTAAGAAAGACTGCGTGTCTGCTGCTTCTCAAGAGTGGTGGCTTACCCCGGCGTCTGTGCTGCCCGCAGCGTCCATGCCGCGCTCTGGGCCGGCGGGGGCAGAAAGCTCAGGCTGGCTGTACTGGTACTGTCTGGAGGAGGCAGGAGGTGAGGCTGAGCAGATAACCCCCGTCTGGACTGTCGGTGTCGAGCGCGGGGAAGGACTGGCAGCAGGCTGTAGCCATGGTGCCAGAGTTCAGAGCAAGTACAGGCCTCAACATGACTAAGTTTGCAGCCTGAACAGCTTGGCTGAAACGGCGGCTCCCTTTTGCTGTTCGGTATGCTTGCCGCCCGCTTGCAACATCCGGGCGATACCTTGGGCTTGGCTGCCAGCCTGTCCTCTCTTGAAAACCCGCTGACTTCACCGCGGCTGCTGCAGAGGCAACTCGCGTTATTGGGCGTAAAGCTTGGAGAATGCCAAGTCATTTGGGAGGCTTACTGTGACCTGAATGAAAAGTGCTCTCTCTCGGCCATGTAAAACAATGAGGTGTTGTACAAAAGCTTTTCCTCTGCATTCCACCTACCCCTTTTATAGATACCTTTGAATGGCTCTGTGTAAAAAGGCAGTGGGCAACACGTGGTTAGTGCAGACGGAAAAATCTCCTGTGAGAACTCGGGGCAGCATAGTTCTTATCCTTCAAAATATGCAAACAAGGTGACGTTTGCAAGGCAAGTCCAAGCGTGTTCTTGCCACAGCAGATTCTCACCCAGCATTTTTGGAAGACGGGCAATGAGTGGGTTGTCATCTGTAGTCCTCAGAAAGGTGGTTAGCTTGAGTTTTGTTAACTGTTATTTAAGATTTATTAAAATCTTGCAATTTTCTTGTATTTCTCATCAGAACTCCGCCGTGCTGTGAGGAGTAGTTTGTGGAAGAAAGAAGCTAGTATCCACGAACACGACTATGGACCAGAAGAAAACATTGATGAAGACACATATAAAAAGACCTGTACTGTATGTGGCCATGAATTAACTTATGAGAAGATGTAGTGTTAAACTGTTTTTTTTTTAATTTCATTTTTAATGGTATTTTGTATTAAAGTTGAATAAATGCTGATTATGAACAACCTATTCGCCATGTTCTGTGAAGAATGATGTTCCTCAGTTGTGAGCAGCTCTGTACAGAACAAGCAGATTTGGCTTTTAAGCTAGATCTTGGGGTAGAATATAACACGGTTTTAGCAGTTCAATAAATTGGTAACTTGTAGGCCAAAAGCTAAGCTGGTGTTGTTCTACTTCACACACTGATGAAGGTGAACTCCCCCCTGCTCTGCTTCCCTCGGAGGAGGAAGGCTGTTGTTCCCAGTTACTGGTCCTGGGCTTGATAAAACACCTCCGTGGGGGGCTGGGGACCATGAGGCAGAGAGTTTGGAGACTCGGCCCCATTAAAGGAGAATTCTGGTCAGAGAATTCCTTCAAAAGGAAAGCTCCTCTTTTTTTTCCCCAAGTTTTTCACCAGAAACCAAGGTAACTGTTAAAACACAACTTTACCCTTTTCTTTTACAAATTTCTAAACAACACCTATCCTTGGGGGAGGAGGGAAGTAGCATTCCAGGGTAGATCTTCCTGAGTGCACCCAAATGGTGTTTGCTTTCAGCCTTGTGGGGATTTACTTTTGAATTTCAAAGCTTCAGTCCTTGCAGCTGTTGTGGAATGCTTGTGGAAATGGCCGAAGTGAAAGAACAGGCTCTAGGCCGCGGCTGCCGTAAATGGCTGTAAATGGCGCAGGTCTCCACAAAGTCTCGGGACTTCTGAGGGGAGCCCGCTCCTCCAACCCTCCCGGTGGCCTGCAGCCCTCGGGACCTGCCTTCCCTCGCAGAGAGGACTCTGCCTGGGAAGGGGGCGCGGGGGGTTGGCTGAGGGCAGGAGGCAGGTCGTCCGGGTGGTGGTTCCGTGGTGACCAGGTGTCGCCCAGGGTCCCAGAACTCCTCTCCAGGGCTGGCTGCCCACTGCTCACCTGCAGGCAGGCAACAGCAGCCAGCCCTCAGCAAGCACACCGCCCCGCCGAGAGGAGCTGGCAAGGGAGAGGGAGAGCTGCCACGCCATGCCGCGCCACCCCACCCCTCCTGGCAGCCAGCGCCATGCCTGCTTGCCACGCTTGCCAGCCCAGGTGGGGGAAGCCCGTTTGATCAGCCTGCAGCAGTGCAACGAGGTGAAGGCTTGCGTGTTAGTCAGGGATATGGCAACAGCGCAGGGGAAACGAAGCTGCTCCCAAACCTGCCTGCGTTTAACACCAGCACAACCCTGCCCTGACAGCCTTGCATCAGTGGCCCCCAAAACAGGCAGGACAAACACTCCCAGTAGTTAACCTGCTTCACCTTGATTTATTTTTGTCTTTAATTGTGCATTTTTTTCCAACCACATCACATTTCTACAGCATCTTTACGCTATCCGCCACCTCATGCTTCAGCAGTTCCAAGTTTCCCCAGTTAGCTGCTGGTATCGCCATGCAAGCGTCCCCTTCTCTCTCCTACAGGCCCAACCAGTTTCCCAGCCACGTCAGGTGTACGCCACCTACAAAGAGGGGAAGGGCTTCCAACAGATTCAAAAATGTAACCAAAGCCCACGCTCACTGCGGAAGTCAAATTGGTTTTGAAAGACATTGCTATTTGGTTTTAAATCATAGGATTACGCTCAGGCATTTGCAGCTGGATCCCCAGCACCCGTATTTGACAAGGCTCAGAGGAAGTTACAGGTTTGCAAGTTTTAACTGCAGAATCAGTTTTACAGAAGTCACATTTACAGTCAGACCCCCACCATGAGCTAATATCAGAACTCTGATATTGATCCAAGCCAGTGAAAAAACTATTAAACCCCAATTAAAACCTCTACAGTATTAAATGTTTCTTTTAAAAAAAAACAAAACAAAACAAAACCCAACCTATTTGATTACGCAAGAACATTAACAAAGAAAGATTTGAAGCAGAAGTCTGTGCATAACTGAGAAAACCCTTGCGTAAAGCAAATTTGCAACAATTAACAGTATACCCTGAAAGAATGGAGGGATCAGTTAAACCAGAAAGGTTAAGCAGAGAAAGCAGAAGTAACAGATCTAAGCCTATGAGGATATATCAAATTGCTACAGGCCACGCACAAAACTTATGTCCACACCCAAAGTAGAAAGCTCCACTTTTTCACCCTCCTCCTTGCTTGGTCAGGAGGTCAGCTGGTCAACACACGGATGAAATGCATTACCAGGTAGAATACTTGAAAAAGTAATTTGTACAGGAACAAAACTACTCAAAGCTCACCATTTTCTAAGCTTAAAATGAATAGCACTGGGTAGGAAGTTCTTTAAACATTCATCCGCAAAACGAAGAGACCATAAACAGCTTGGAAACATGCTGCACACTGACAGACCTGAGCACCTAAGGCAGCGTCTTCGCTGTTCATCGCTGCTTACCCTAACACAGACCGCTCTGGTTTGGCGTTTATGTACGTCATGTTATTTGCATAACTCAAAACTAAGGCTATTCTATTTTCAGGTCGTGTTTTCCCAGTCTAAATCTCCTGTGAGATATCACTTAATCGACCATTAAAATGCCTTCTGAAGACATGGGAGCCACGTGCTGTTGTCACATTTTAAAGCAAGGGAAGGGTAGCAGATGCAGCCACCAGCAAAGCGGTTGTTACTATGCCAGATGAGGTGAGGGCACTCAGTTCATCCACCGTTCACTACCAGAACGATTTCTGGTGTCACTGCAGGCCTGCAGGTCCAGCCCAGCGCAAGCTCAGCAGCCCAGCTTAGTTACAGGCTGAAATAAAGGAAGAAGCTGAACACCGCCCTGCCCTCTCCCCTGGCGCCTGGTGTTCCCAACACCCAGGTAAGGCTTGCAGTACAGAAGTTGAAAGTTTGTTCCACTCCAGCTCTCGCTGACTGTCTCTATCTACCAGTGAAGACTGCTGCCAGGAGCAGCCCGTGATTCTTCGACCACGCTGCAAAAAGGATTGCATTTTTCAGAAGTTGTCCGTGAAGTTCCTCTACTGATTGTTTACAGCTACTGTAACAAGACACTAGACAATACATTTAAAAAAACCAAACAAACATATTTCAATTGTATTACAACCACGTTCTTTCAAACAGTGAAAACCTAGCTGGCTTGGCAATAAACAAATCCAGATGCTCTATACTACTTCAAAAGCTTAACTCAAGCGTTTCACATGCCCAAAGTTAAGACACTGTCCCCGTGCCATACTAGAGAGCTTACCACACTGCTCACTGAGAAGGTGCATCCCCTTTCACTCACAAAACACTATGAACTGTTTCTCATTTCTGAAATTCCTTCGATTTAAGAGCCAGGCAGAGGTAACAAATTCTCTTTGTTTTTTGTTTGCTTGTTTGTTTTTTGCCTGATTTTTATTTTTATATAAACAACAGGGGAAAACAAAAATACTATCATAAAGTCAAGAGTCAAACCAAATTAAAAAGACAACAAAAAGAATTCATACTTTACTTCACATCTATCCCCTATCAGTCCTATGTTGTAAGGCTTATGATGCTTACACAGTTTGCTGTTGGTTAGAGTACTGTATTGTTTTATATAGGAGCACATGAAAGCCAGTTTTAGTCAAAAATTTCTTCCATCCCCATGTCAAGTTTTCCCATTTAAAAAAGAAAAAATTAAATTCATTAAAGTCCTGCAGACAAGACTCTGTCTGTGAATACTCCTCAGGCCTGCAGAGCACAGAACTGCTGAAACACAGCCAGTATGTGGTGGTCCAGTTCAGCTGTAAACAGGAGGTTCTCTAGGGTCACCATGTACTGCTGGATTATCTGGTGATGCTGGCAGATAAAAAACAAAACACAAACCTTTATTGTTTTCATTTATCTTTATCTAAAAACAGGCAGAGAAGTCAAGACACGTAAGAATCACGGGTCAAGTGTTTTCATCACAATTGTTAAGCACATCTCATTTCCACAACGCAGTAGGCACTTACAAGAAGAGCGTAATGCAGAGCCACTACTGATCAAGAGGCAAGCACGTGCTGAAATCCTGCCTTGAGAAGCACTGTGCCCCCTGTAGCTCTTCATTCCTGGACCCTGAACTGTGTGCAGGACACTGTGCAACTGCAGGGATAACCTAGGAGAATCGTGATACTTGCTTTCCTCTGAAGCCTACCTCTACGACCAGGGGAACCCTCGTTCAGCCCAGGGGAGAATTATACCACCACTCCCCTTCTTTGATATATCTTCTGCTGACACAGGTATAATTTTCTATTACTATCACTTCCATCCAGCCACCTGTGCTTGTTACCTGATTTAATACAGAGCCAAGAATTTGTAAATGATTTTTAATATGTTAGGCATCTTATCAAAAGGAATTCTGCAATATTTTAATCTGCTCATTTAAAAAGACATCTATTTTAGTATTCTTGTTCACTCACAACTTTGCCCTTACTATAAACACACAGTTAAGAGGACCTCAGCGAATTTCATAATTGCATCTTGGCATCTTTTTGCAGTATGCTGACAGTGTGGGATTTAATCAAGGACCAGTCACTCCACCAGCCTGTGGCAGAGATGCAGCCAGAACCAGACTTACGACCTAGCCCTACACCAGCCTTCAGAGAAGACGTGCTGCTGCCACCTACTGCTACTCCCATGGAGTGTGCTCAGTGCCCCAGCCACAAAACTTGTCTATCCGGCACGCCCTGCCCACAGCCTTCCAACCGAGAAATGAAACTTACCTGTAGGAAGATCTGCTGCAACCTCTCTATACAGCTCTTGTACCAAGGTGTAAATACATCAATTCCACCAGTTTCACAGCGCACTAAGTGCTCGGTTAACAACATAATGAAACGCTGCAGGAGAGGGGAAAAAAAAAGCGCTTTTTCAGTCTCATCAAAGGAAAGCAGGATCCTAACCTCAGTTGAGAGGATCCGGGGGGCAGAAGCTTTGAACGGCAATGTGAGAATAGTTACTTTGTTTGGCAAACACTGAATTTAGTAAGCAAATAAGATCCAGTTACCTTCTGGTTGTGTGGGAAACTGTATGCTAGCAGAACTCCTCTGTTCCTGAGCACTTTAAACTGAACAGATCCTGCTCAGAAGCAGTCTTTGCACAGGGATGA